TTGAATCAGTTTTATGTCCTTCATAGAGTGTGTCTGTCTATGACTGCACGTGCTGTGTGTTTATTATTAATTTCTTGTCTCTATGACTCCCTAATAGAAGAGCTTTACTAATGGATCCAAGTTCTGAAACCAGTATCTGAAGCAGAACAGATGCTTCATAAATGCTCATTAAATAAAAGATGGCAAGGAGTCCCCTGGCTGTGTACAATTTGGGGTAAGCAGATGGGCTGGTTCCGAGCTCTTCCCCAGAATGAGGGGCTGCTTGTCTATCCAACAGGTCATGGCTGGCAGCAATACTGCCTTAAGGAGGTCCTCTCCCCACCTCCCAGGAAAGGATGGACCGGGAAAGTCACTGTTGTTCTGATGGTCAAAGTGTGCAAGAAAAGGTGCAGGGAATCAGTGCGAAGGCGACGTTGCATTCGACTCCTCAGCTGGCAAACACAACCAGAGTGCTGTAAAGTGCTGAGGCATATCAGGGGCAGTGTGGCAGGGACCCTCTGAGGGCCATTTTCAGGGGTGCTATGTAGAGCTACCTCAGGGCCTCAGATTCCCTTGTAGAATGAGACAATATTCTGATGTCTTTAGAGAAAATTCTGAGGTTTCAGTGGTTAGTGGTCAAGGGCACTGTGGTCAAGAGCTTGGCTAGAGGACAAGTCCTGGCTTCGTCATGTGCTGTGTGACTTGGGACAAGTGACTGAACCTCTCTGAACCTTGGCTTCTTTATCAGGAAAATGAAGGTAAGTGAATTGATTATGTAAAGACCTAGCATGGAACCAGCCCCCCTGGAATGGTCAGTGGTTGGCTAGCGGGAAGGCAGAATTAGAAACTTGTTGCAGAAGTTAGTCCAGGATTTAGCTGATTCTTCAGGGTAGAAACTGACTTCTGTTCCTCCAGACTCTCTTGCCTGGCTTCTTTTTAACTCTAGGCACTCCTGTGCGCTTTCTAGGTACACTAAGGACTGTGCCCTCGGGCAAGCTGCTTTGCCTCTCTGAGCTTCAGTTCTTTATCTAAAGATTCCCTAAAACCACAGCCCTACTTAGGGAGCTGAATTCATGCGCCAGGTAATCTGGGCCTTGCAAGCCGAGAAGTTAGTGATCAGAGCGCAGGGTGAGGCAGACCAGCGGGTCCAGATGGATGCTGGGCCAGGGACCTTGGCCTCTTTAGAACCTTCCTTCAGGCAGCAAGCTGAGCAACCTGGATTTCCTCTGATATGCAGCATTTTAAAGTGACCGCTCCCAAGCACAGAAGGTCTCAGAAGCCCCCAAATTCCCCTCCTTACACCCCCTCACATGCTGCCACCACCTGTCCAGGCCATCTCCTCCTGGGATGAAGGAATGACACTGCGTGTAAACGTGGCTTCTCCCTACAAGTAGGGGCCAGCGCCCTCACGGGGAAAGACATTAGAAGGGGCAGGAGAATAAGTGTGTCCAAGAAGTAAGGAGAGGAAGAAAAACTGGGCCCGGGAACAGGCTCCAAGGGCGCTGCCGAAACCAGGGGTGTCCCGGCTTCTGCTTGGTCCCCAGAAGCCACGGAATGCTGAGTGTGACCTGGCAGTGGGGCTTGAGGCTGGCGGGTAGCCGGCCTTGCCATCACCCTCATCCTGCATCAGGGATGCCAGTTTCCACCCCCACCCTGTAGCAGCTTGCAGTCAGGACAGAGGCCAGTGGGAGGAAAGCGTGTACGCCAAGAGGCCTGAGCCAGCCCCCAGGGTGATCCCAAAGGACATTCCACCTCTCTCTGGGCTTCTATTTCCTGACTAGGGACACTAATTCTTAACAAGCTCCTATTCTGGCCCCTCACAGGCAGTTCGGCAGCATGTGCGGGCACTTTTGGTTGTTGGCGATGGTGACAGTTCCGGGCATCTCAGAGCGAGGGAGGTGACAGTGAGTGACGGACAGCCTGCAAGGCTGGGACAAACCCACCATGGGGAGAAGTGTTCTGACCATATGCAAACTCTGGACACCCAGGCAGATCTCCCCGAACTGAGAAACCCCATTCAGTCGCGGTCTATAAACGTGTCCTTAACAATATGGCTCTAAAATAGATTGAATTGTCCATGTGTGCAACTACTTGGTACATCAAAGAGACAGGACGTGGCTTTATCGGGAGCCGCTCACCATTTTGGAAAATCACGTCACCAAGGCGACGCTGCTGGTGGCATTTGGGTTGCCAAAACAACACACCTGAGTCAATCTGCGTTTGACACTGTAGTGTTTGCAGCAATTCTATGTTTAGGCACAAACATCTGACCCATCCAGGGAGTCATGCCTGGGCCCTGATAGTTAAATGACAGGTTCTCCTGTGCCGTGTTACTCTGATGCTCTGTCACCTTCATTTTATAATTAGGGCATTATGTTGGTCCAAAAAGGAAAAGTGTGGGTAGGCTAAATGATCCCTGAAAGAGCGTCTGGTGAGTAAGAGGGCAAATAAAAATATTTGTTTAAAGACGGTGGCCTGACTCCGCAGAGTGCGAGCCACTGAGTTTGGGGATCCTGCTCCTATTACTGTCCGTCCTGAGAACTGCTCACTGGACATGCCCTCGATCACTTCCTCCCCAGCCTTACTTCTTCTGGAGCAGTCCTTCCTGCTCTATGCGAGGTCGTGACAGGGTCACCGAGGGAGGCGTGGTGGAGGAGGGCAGGCTGGGCGTCAGATGCAATCTTTCCCGCTGGAAAGCAGGTCTCCCAAAGCCGACCTCAGTCACACCGGCAGCTCCCCCCACCAATGCACAGGGAAACCGTTGTTTTCCCAGACGGTGGGTGCACAGGTCCGTGGGGGCCTAACTGCCAGGAGGGCGCGAGAAAGCCCTTCACACGACAGCCCCACCCAAGTCTAGAAGCCCAGCCTCTGGGGACTTCTCCCTATCACATACACAGGGGCTGCGGCGAACCCCATGGAATGCTGATGCTCACCCCCAGGCCAGCTGGGAGTGAGCACACAGAACTTTATGGGGTTGGTGCAGCTGTCCCACTCAGTGTCTGCTGCTCTTCTTGGAGAATTCAGTGCCGAAGGCTAGGGACGTGCCCACAGGGTTGGGAGAGGTGGTGCTTTGCGTGGGCACTTCCATGCCTTGGGGTGGGCACTTTCGAGTTGCCTCCTGAAAACATAAGCAGCGATTGCTCCGGATCTGCAGATCTTTAGAATTTCAGCCCTCTGGATGCGTCTTGGGGCCTGCTGGTGGCCCAGAAGACACAGCCAGACTGAACAGGCCATGGCCACTGGCATGCCGGTGTGGGGCGCCCCTCCGGGGCAGGGTTCTAGCTTGGGGGCCTCCCCTTCTAGTTGCAGGTGAGTTAGGCCTGGTCTCTGAAAACATGCTGGCCCCCAGCTTATAGAAATGGGCACTAGGGCACCAGAGAGCCCTGACTGCCTCACCAAGATGGCTACCACTTGGCCAACACACTGTCTCCCATGGAGACAGGACCAAAGGGGTGTGTGCGCGGTGGGGGCGTCCAGGGTGTCTCCAGGGAACTTGCACAAGAGCAGATGGCCACCAAGCAGGGCCTTAAAGGGAGCAAGTGGGCCTGCTTTCCCTCAGCCCAGGGATTTCTGATGAAGCCTCACCTTCCTAGGTGGAGTGTTGGAGGAATTGGCTCAGTTTTTGCCCAGTTGTGAGACGTGAAGAAAAGCTACAGGAATCAACAGCAGACTCTGTGTGTGTGGTGGTGGTGGGGGGGGAGAGTGGCGGGGGGGTGCCCCAGGTGGAGGGTCCTGTGGTTTTTGGGTTTCCCATCAGGAAGGAATTCTGGATCCCATGCAGTTCATCAAGCACCCCAGTACCTCGGTATCCGCCTTTCCCTCTGCCTAGAGCGCGCTTTCTCCATGAAGCTGCAAACTGCCCTCTCCCCTTCTTTTGGGTCCTCCAACATGGCCTTCTCAGGTAGGCAGAGCCACATAGCCTCCCGATAAATTTCATCCTCTTCAACACTTCACCCTTTCCTGCTCTACCTATCTTAGCACATCCACTGGACTACATGTTTTCCATCTTTATGCTAATTATTCTTCATCCTCCCTATGACACGGTCAGGGAGTCTGTCTAGCTCTCTCATGCACAAGGTCAAATGATTTGTCAGTCCCTTCACTGCTTTACTCTGGATGCCCAGGAGTGGCACATAGTAGGTCCTCAATGAGTGTTTGCTAAATGAGTGAATGCAAGCTACCTTGAGAGCCACCTTAATCCAGGCCTCGGAGGGACTCCCTGGTAACCTTGAAATGCGCTTGGGACACTCAGTGGTGCTTGAGGTAGAGTGGGGAAATCTGATTCTGGATTTCTGGGGGTGCGGGGGAGGAGATCAGACTATGGATTTTAGGGGCGGGAGGAAGCCCAGACTCTGGATTTCGAGGGGGGAGCCCAGACCTGAACCTTCTTCTAATGGGGAGTGCATAAGTGGGACGTGCCTAAACCCTCCCCCCTGCCTACCATAGCACTGGGGGATGGAGCGTCAGTGCTAGACAAGATAAGAGTGGGAAGGGTGGAGGGAAAATTCTTTCTCCTGTCTCCATGGTTCTATGACCACCTGGCCCAGCTGCTGACTCCTCCCTAGAGAAGGCACTAGAATCGCCCACTGTGTTGCCAGCTCTCCACCTCCAGAGACTCAGAAAGTGCCAAGCTGGCAAACAGAGGGCTGGTACCAGGTGGTTCTCAAGTCAGAGCCTCAGCGCCCACATAATCTGAACAAGACCACAGTGTGGGGAGTCGGGCCAGTTCTCTGCTTTGACTCCACCCCCCTCCTCAGGACCTTCCTTGCTCTCTGCTGCGGCTGCACAGTGGTGGCTGGAGGACACAGGGGAGACTGGAAGACATGACTGCAGTGACCGTGATTACTAGCTCTGGGTTCCAAGACAAGAGGTTCAGGCTACGAGTTCCACCTACTTTGCTCTTTCAGTTGCAGCTTTAAGGGCAAGAGGCAAGGGCGGTTGAGTGGATGCTCCCGGGCAGGTGTCTGAGTCCACTGCACACGCACACATGCACGCACGCGCTCCATGCAGGTGCAGCTTACCTGTCCACCTGGACTTCCGCGTCTTTTGTCTGTGCCTTGGAAGCTGCCCCGCCATTGCGCCCTTTGCCCCCACTGGTGAGCAGGTTCAGCACTGGCTCTATCTCTCTGAGCAGTTCGTTGTTCTCCCCGCTGGCCTGGGGGCCAACCCCAGCACTTTTCTGGGCAGGATTCTGGCTTGGGGGCCTGGGAGCCAGGCCGTTGGTGTGGGAGAGCAGGCCTGCTTCCTGCCCGTTGTCTGAGGCAGGCGGGGGCCCGTCTCTGGGACCCATAGCCCTGTCCACGGCCGGTGGCTGCTCTTTGCTGGCTGATGGCTGGTGGGTCAGGTCGACGGCGGTGGCAGGTGGCCCCAGGGGCCGTGTCACCCGAATGGTCTTAGGGGTACCGTCCCCTGTAAAGGTAGTCTCTAGGTGCGTGGTGAAGCCCTCAGGCCCCCTCAGAATGAGGACCACATGGGTCTCGGAGGCAATGCCCCTGAGTACCTCCAGGGCACTGTCATAGCTCAGATCCACCAAGGGCTGGCCGTTGACGGCGAGAATGATGTCTCCAGCCTGGATGAGGCCACTCTGCTCCGCGGCACCCCCTCGAATCAGGTCAGAGATGATCACAGGGGGCTTGCTCACCCGCTCCTTTACCAGGAAGCCCAGGCCCCCCACTTTGCGTTTGAAGAGGCGGACAGAAATGACATTGGGTTGGATCTGCTGTACAGTGAACATGTGATTCTCCATGGCGTCCTGTATCCAAGGGCCTGGAGACCTCAGAATGTGTCAAGCCAGCAACGTCCCCAGGAGATGCCAGGCTTCAGGCTGTTCCGAGAGAAGGTGCTGCAGGGGCCGCGAGAGTCTCGAGAGCCAGCGGCCCTGGGGTCCGGGTCTTCTTTGCCTGTGACGTCAACTGGCGTCACTCCTTCATTGCTGTCGGGACATTGGTGGCATGATTTCATGCGTCTGCTCCCTCCTTGTTCTCCAAGGAAGTGACGGATGATCAGGCAGACGTCAGGAGAAGAGGTGGGCCGTGTCCCCAAGCCGCAGGCCAGGCGTACTGGAGAGACGTGTCGGGGCCGTGTGCAGCTGTCTAGAGGTGACGCATGCTAGATGCCAATTGCCAGCCTGTTAGAGGCACCTTGGATCTGGGGCTTCCTGAGCTGAAGACAAGGAACAGGGAGGGAATGGAGAGAATTAAAAAGGAGAGACTGATGCTGTGCACCTAACACCAAGTTCAGGACCAGGACAGAAGACAGCTGAGTCAAGTTGGTGGAGTTTTGAAATTAACCCAGAACGAAATCCTTCCTCAGGGGGGCTGCTCCCCAGTTAGCTGCAAACTGCCTAGTTTCATCTCCATGCACAGAGCCATCCAGGGCCAAAGGGCGCCCCTAGAGAGAGCACTGATGGTGAGCCCCAGAACTCAGACGCCAAGAATCAGACCTCTCACCTCCTTGTCACCACACCAACTTATCACGCCGCGTTGGGTGCTCAGTTTCTCCAACATTTTGCACTTACAGCTCAGGAGCTCAGCCAGCCTAGGTTAGGTCTTTGGCCTCTCCACCTGGGGCCACCCCAAAAGTTCCCTAAACAAAATCCACTGGAAGGGGGCTGGTATCATCCATGGACCAAATTCTGAAGGACATTTGTGGCCCAGCAATGGTCTGAGACCCAAATTAGCAAGAGGCGGCTTTGTTGATGGCTGGGTTGATGAACACGGAGAAGGGTCCAGTGAATACTGATGAAGGACAAGGGAAAAGACCCTGAGACCGAACAGAGCCCACACCTAGGGAGCACTGAGGCTCTGGACACGTATTTCCCTATTTTGAATCGCACAGTAGCCTGTCAGCAGAGCAGAGTGGAGCTCGGGCAGCCACAGTCAGCTGCCCACTGTCACACAGGGAATGGTAGTAGAGAATTTGCACTCAGTTTGGATCCATTCTTGTTCTAAGGTCTCAAACTCAAACTTTCGTTTTAAAAAATGTATCTTCTAGTTATTTCACCAACTCCTCCAGATTCAGAGAAATGAGGTTGGCAGGGGCAGAGAGGCCCTCAGAGAGCCCCAGTGCACCTGCAGCAGGTATACAGCTGGCCGTGCTGTCAATGAGTCCCATGTGCCTGGGGCGGGGCAGGTGATCTGTGGGTGTGGGTGGAGTGGGGGTGCGTGGGGGGTAGCAGGGAAGTCCTCTGTGTACTTTCCTGTCCCTTAGCTCAAGCCCCAGTTCTCTCTCTGTCCTGACACCCCTGCCTGCCAGCGTCCTTAGCACAAGGAGGGCTCCTCAGCTGCCACTACTAACAAAGTGACACTTACTCCCTTGTTTCCCTTATTCCACTTCTTGGGGTCACCCCCAGGTGAAGGCAGCTGCCAAGCTCTTGCTGCCTCTGAAAACAGGCAGTGGGTGCAGACACCCCCTGGGGAGGAGAAGCCACCTCCTGGGTCCCCTCCTGGGGTGGTTAGCAAGTTCAGCCTCCCCCTTCTGCAGCTTTGCATTACGTAACTCCGCCAGCCCCTCTGTGTGGGTGAGGAATAATGAATACCCGGGCCCAGCCCGGGCTGCCTTCTCCATCTGGCGTTGCTGTGTGTGTGTGTGTGTGTGTGTTTCTCTCTGTGTATTCATGCACCGCCCTCATGCTGTGTCACTTCTCTGCTGTGTGTGTGAGTTTGTGCAACCTGGGTGTCCGTGGCTGAGTGTCTTTCTGCATCTTGCTGCTAGGGTCTGGTTTGCAGAAAAAGCCTTCTGAACGAACGCACTGCTCCTTCCTCACTAGGGAGGGGGGGCTCAGGCCCACCCATCTGCTTGCTTCCTTAACTCACCCTTAGCCCTATTTCTTCTGGGTACCAAACACAGGATGTTTCTTTTTGATGGAGACAGAGACAGCTGGAACTTTCCAGCATCACAAGTGTCCAAGATTGGCATCAAGCTCCATTGTGTAATTACAGGAGAGACTTGAAGGTGAGCTCTTGGGGGAGGTAGGCCCCAAGCTCTCTTCTTCCATAGGCTGGCTGGGGTCACACCTCACTGAGGGACAGAGCCTGGACTTGGCTTATGTTAAACAAGAAAAATGAAGCCATCACTGAGCCTCCCTAGTAACTCTCGACTTTTCATCTCCCTCAGCTGCTTCCCTAAGTCACACAGGGCTCTGGCTGTTGCTTGGGAAATTGGGGGTGGGGTGGGGTTGTTTCTCTGTCTTTGGCCTTCAGAAGGGAACTGATTATTTGGAAGGGATTGGAAGGAGGCTGAGCTTGGGAGAGGCAGGGCTATTTAGAATATGCTGAACAAGGGGGAGGGAGGGAGAGCGGGAGAAAGCCTGGGCTCTGTGTAAGGGAGAGCTAGCTCTGAGTATTTTCCTTTGTCAGTCATGAGTCTAGTACCAACTCCAGGGCACTCCCTTCTCGCTGACCCAACCCCTCATCTGCGGTCATCTTTTCATCCTCACCCTGGTGGCAGGGGTAATGACCCTCTGCCAGGTGAATACATTAAGCTGCTGCTTGGAGACCCTCTTTTCCCAGTCTGTAAATGCCCAGTCTTCAGGCGTCTCTCCAGTCCTGAGCCAACTTATTGCCACAGAGAAAATTTTTAGGCCCTTTCTGGTTCTGTGTGTTTTGGGGAGATCTTCATTTTCTAAACCTCAGTACCTTTATCTGAAAAATGGGAGCATTAAGTAATTACTACCTCCCTGGATAACTGGGAGGATCAAATAAAAACAGCGCAGGCAGGGTACTTGGCAAGGTCCGAGGGAAAGCTCAGAAGCGGATTTCTGCTATTGTTACATAATATCTAATGAATCAGGCTTCCTGGCTTTTAATTCTGTGCACTTTCTACGCCATCACACCGTCGCACCAAAGGTACTTGCATGCGTCTAGACGGGCCCTTTGCTGGAAATCACACAGAAGAATCTCGAGCCAGTCATGGCACGGGACATTGTCCTTGGGCAGTCGGGGGCTGGGTAGCATATCCTGCCCACCCAGCCTCCACCCATCGGAGCTGCGATTTTAAACAGATCGCATGCGTGTGCACGCCAGAACACACTCCATGGAAACAATACTTGGACCCGGGCCTCATTCGAGTAGCGCAGGGCTTATGGGTGTATTTATTTCATTTACCTTGCTGCGAGGAAATTAGCTGCTCACTTTCGGGGCCGAGTGCCAGTGAGACGGAGGGAGCCAAAATAGGCCAGCGTCTGCCACTGCCATCGTGCCTTGTGACCTTGGGCAAGCCACTCCCATCCTGGGCGGCTTGTGGGCAACCCAAGGACTTGGAATAGTAGCAGTTTGGAGACCAAGATTCGCTGTGCAGCAAGCATGTCCCTACGCCCTGTGCACAGGGCCTTATTTAATCCCCACAGTAACAGTATGAAGGAAGGGCCCTTTGACCACTGATTTACAACGACAGGTGGACTGAGGGGCAGAGGAGGCAGCCCTGAATCTAGGTGATTCTGAGCACTCACCAGGGACCATGGCAATCTTATAAACAGCCCCACTGTGCTTTCCTGATGGTGCAGGGGTTAAAGTCTTAGCACTATCAAGCTATCTCCAGCCACTGTGGTCTGTGCTCCATCCCCCACAGGGGAGCCGACCCACATGGTAGAGCAGACTTCACCCTCTGCTCCCTCAGCAGTGGATTTCAGTGGAACCCCACTCTGTCTCTGGCGAATCCTCTCACCCTCCCCCTCACCCCCCACACCTCTGGCCTATTCCCCAGCTTTTGTGTGCATAAATAATCTTAAAAAAAAAAAAAAAGGCCCTCCCTGGTGGCGCAGTGGGTTAAAGCACAGCACTAAGAAGCTAAAGCCACTTCCGCATGAGTTCGATCCCCGCCTGCCCCGGAGGTGACCACATGGCGTGGCAGACCTCTCCTGACCCGCCCGCTGCTCCCCTCAGCAGTGTACTTCGTTTATCTGCCTGTTCTGCTCCCCACTCTGTCCCTGGTGAATTCTCTCTCCCTCCGCATCTCTGGCCTGTACCCCAGTTCTGTATGAATAAATAAATCTTTAAAAAAAAAAAAGAACAGCCTCACATGCTATGCTTCCTCTTTCCTCCCCAAGCAATGGCGTCAGCTGCCATACAGTTCCCAATCTCACCCTGAACCAGGCCACATCCAGTTGTTCCCATTGTACAGGTGGAGAATTCAGCTGCCTTGGGAAGACCTGCTCGTTGTATCTTGCTCAAGGCTTCCCACATCCAGCACTGGAAGCCAGCAACGTTAGGATGCCCTTTGCCATCACCCAGCCCAGCTCCCCTCTGCACAGGTGAGCAAACAGGCCAGGAGAGGCCAAGAGTTCATGCCACAAGGATTCTGCATGGATCAGACTGCTGGAATGGCCTAGCGGGATGTCCACCAGCCACCGGGGCCAGTGAGCTCCTCAGCCGAGGATGGCTCCACTGAGGTGTGCTAGAAGAGCAAATTACAGTTGGGGCTCAAAGGCTGGAAGGAAGAAACAAACTGTTTCAATAATTTTCTGATACTGATTTCACATGGGAGTGATGATATTTTGGATATACTGGGTTAAGCCAACTAACTGTGAAAATTAATTTTATTTGCTGCTTTTTACTGTGACTCCCACACAACTAACAATCACAATGGTGGATGTGCTGCCACCAGGCAGGCAGGGCTCGCGTCTGACTCTAGATACTGGGTCGGAGTTCCCCTTTATCGCGCTGTGCCTGAGGTCCCCTTAGGAATCTATGAAGACTTAGCCAGGCAGCAGATCAGTTGGGTTTCTTTCTAAAGAAACTAGGAAAAGGCCACAGAGAGTTAGCTGACAATGCTGCTACCATCTGCGGCTCACTGCTGGAAGCAGGCATGATGGGGTGAGAGAGAAAACCCACCTAGAACTACCTGCCACCTAAGCAAACAGCCCAGCATCCAGCCTCCTGCCATGAGACAGCAAACCCCTGTATGAGGACGTGCCATTAAAAAGACTGAGGCAGCTGGCTAGCCACAGCGGAACCTGAGCTCCATCACTGCCACTAGGTGGAAAGAGAAAGGTGCTAATGTGTAAATGCTGCGTGTGTCAATGCAAACATTATTCTGGAAGGAGCTGGTATCAGAGGTTGGAAGGTAGGAGCGAGACACTGAATGCTATCCCCCCCTCCCCACCCCCGTCTGAAAAACAATTTTTTTGACTCACGTGCAGTGAGCAACGGTAAAGAAAACACTAC